TGGTGGGACTGCAAATTAGTGCAACCTCTGTGGAAAAGAATTTGGAGATACCTCAGAGAGCTAAAACTAGAAAGGTCTTTTTTAAAGTATGAGAACTTTCTTCTATGACAATTTTACATATAAAATCTGGACCTCAATAACATGACTTAAAATGATCTAACATTATAAACCTTCACATATATACATTTATATATGCTGCACCAGGGATGTTGTTGGAGGAAGATATCACAGACTCCTACTTACTCATAAGTGACTTTGCCAACCCCAGGGAATGCTAGGAAATTCCTGTGGGCTGCTCGAACATGACTTTTCACACATACCCATATTCATGTACATTATATATCATAAAAATATAAATTTAAACACAGGAGTGATTAACACTAGAATCAGGAGAGTGGTTACCCCTTAATAGCAGTGAAGAGGCCACGATTTTAGTGAGGGTCATTGGGCTCCAGGGTACTGGTTAATGTCTATTTCTTAAACTGAGTATGGGCTTATGGGTGTTGTGTTTTATATACAATCTCTTTGATCTTAAAATTTGAAAAAAGGAATGTCACACATAAGAGAAATGTTATATTATGTTCTGTCTATGGCACCAGAAGAGTATCTCACAGCAAACATTTCGATGCATGAAATGTCATAGTCTTTTTTTTCTTTTCTTTTCAGTTAGAAAGGATATAGTCCGCATCCTCCCCAGTTTAGATGTTGAAGTTAAAGACATTACTGACTCTTATGATGCTAACTGGTTTCTTCAGCTGTTATCTACAGAAGATCTTTTTGAAATGACCAGCAAAGAGTTCCCCATAGTAGCTGAAGTCATAGAAGCACCTCAGGGAAGCCAGCTGCCCAGAAATATTTTACAGCCTGGGAAAACCATCGTGGTTCACAAAAAGTTCCAGGCATCAAGGATCTTAGCTTCTGAAATTAGAAGCAATTTCCCTAAAAGACACTTTTTGATCCCCACTAGCTATAAAGGCAAATTCAAGCGGCGACCTCGGGAGTTCCCAACAGCCTATGACCTAGAGATAGCTAAGAGTGAAAAAGAGCCTCTTCACGTGGTGGCCACCAAAGCCTTTCATCCCTCTCATGACGAGCTGTCATCTGTATCTGTTGGGGACCAGTTTCTAGTGCATCACTCAGAGACTACTGAAGTCCTTTATGAGGGAATAAAAAAGGTGGTGAACGTTCTGGCCTGTGAAAAAATCCTCAAAAAATCCTATGAGCCCGCACTGCTCCCTTTGTACATGGAAGGAGGTTTCGTAGAGGTGATTCATGACAAGAAACAGTACCAGATTTCTGAGCTCTGTAAACAGTTTCGCTTGCCCTTCAATGTGAAGGTGTCTGTGAGAGATCTTTCCATTGAAGAGGACATTTTGGCTGCTACACCAGGACTGCAGTTGGAGGAAGATATCACAGACTCTTACCTACTCATAAGTGACTTTGCCAACCCCAGGGAGTGCTGGGAAATCCCTGTTGGCCGCTTGAATATGACTGTTCAGTTAGTCAGTAATTTGTCTAGGGACACAGGATCATTTCTAGTCAGAACTCTGGTGGAAGAGATCACTGAAGAACAATATTATATGATGCGGAGATATGAAAGCTCTATCTCACACCCCCCACCTCGCCCTCCCAAACATCCCTCAGTGGAGGAAACAAAGTTAACCCTGCTAACCTCAGCAGAAGAAGGGACAGTGGATCTGCCTAAATCTCCCAAGGTAAGGCTATGATTTTGCAGTTTTTTCCTCCAGAGGCAATTTGTTTCAAGTCTTTTCTGAGTTTGTTTTTTGCTTACGTTTCTTTATTTCATGCCATATTTGAAATGAGCCTTTCTGATTCACAGTAGATGAATGAACATCAACAGAGCGTAAGATACTGCAGCGTTTCGTATTTTGATGTTTAACCAATAGACGTGGCATGAAGTTTATATTGAATTGGGAAGAGCAGGGATGACATTTGGATATGATGACCCAAATTGCCTTTTCAAGGGGCTTTGGTAATTAAGAATGTTTTATAAGGTGCTTCAGAAGCAAATCTCTTTGATTTTGGAAGTGCTGTTTTATTTTTTCTAGGTAGAATTATTTTAACATTTCATCCAGGAAATGAGCATACAATAACTTCCTTCTTTTTTGGGGGGGAGGGTTACTGGTAACATGCATCTATAACACATGTCTTCATTTTGTTTTATGTGCAGAAAGATGTAAAAATATCTTGGCAGAACTTTGTGTGAGAATGTGAGCATCTGCCCACATTCTGCTGATCTTAAAATTGTAATCTTTAACAGTTCTATTGCAAAACAAAATCAATAAAATTGCAGACAGTATGAGATCATTACAGAATCAACAACTCCATAACCACTCTAAAGATTTTCGGGGGTGGTTCAGCTTTATTTTTACTGGAGGGCTTTGCCTCTTGAAAACTGCCTGCTGGCTGCCTGCAAAGCGCTTGCCCTTACACCATGATGTGTAGGTCGTTTATCCAGCTGTGGTTCTGTCATGTGCGGAAGGAGTGCGTTCTGGCCTGGCAGATGTTGTGCTAGCAGCTTAGGGAAACAAAGCAGTTGTAAAACAAAGAGATGCTGTGTTTACTCTCTATGCTCAGGAATGATAGCAGAGCCATAGGCTTCAAGTATATGGATATGGAAATACTTATGGTTTTACATCTCAGAAATTGCATTCTGCTTGTATGCTGGGGAAACCCAGTAAGAATCTCCAGACTTATTGTTAGAAAAAGATAAAACCAGCAGCAATTTCCTTTCCAGAAAAACAATTTTGAAGGAGTCATTTCAAATAATACAATGGTTTCCAAATAATGTTGATTAATATGTTGCTATTAATGTGAAGAGTGTCTTTGACTTCTCCTGTTTAGCATATTTTCATCACTGAGATGAATAATGTGAAAAATGGAATGCTTTCCTTGTTTTTAGTGGTAGGCAGAATAAAGCCCCTCTATGTCCAAAAATGTCTATGCCTAAATTCACAGAACCTGTGAGTATGTTACATTACATGGCAAAAGAGACTTTGCACACGTATTTAAAATTAAGGGCCTTTTAAGATGAGGAGATTTTCCTGGATGATCCAGGTGGGTTCAATTTAGTCACAAGAGTCCTTAAAAGAACCTTCTCCAGTTGAGGTGAGGGTTAGAGGGAGATGTGACTAGAGAAGAATGATCAGAGACACAACATTGCTGCCTCTGAATATGGAAGAAGGGAGCCATGAACCAAAGAACACAGATGGCCTCCCGAAGCTGGAAAAGGCAAGGAAACAGCTTCTTCCCTAGAGTCCCCAGAAAGAAATGCAACTAACACCTTGATTTTAGCTATTGAGAACTGCTATGTTGGACTTCTGACCTACAGGACTGTAAGTTAACACATTTGTATTATTCAAGCCACAAAGTTTATGGTAATTTATTACAGCAACAATAGAAAGATAATATAGCACATAAAGCTGGGAGTGAGGAATAAGTAAAAAGCCTTGACAGTAAAATCTGTATGTAAGTTAGGAGGACTTGTTTTGCTGGAAAAGCAGTTTTAGTTTTTCCTTTAAGTGAATTTATTAGCTCATGTGGAGAACCTAAGGATACAGCTAAGCTTCGGGAATAATTGGAACCAGGATTTTGAAAACAGCAAGAGTGGTCTTTACTTTTCGTCACATACTGGTTTTATTTTTCCAGACTAGCTTTCCCAGATTTTATTTTCCCAGGCTATAGTTGAGAGTTCCTGCATCTCACATCTCATAGTTTCATCCCTAGAGAAGAATACAATCTCTGTCTGGTTCAGATTTTAAAAAGGGAAGGACCTTGATTGGATTACATGACCATCTCCTGACTCAACCTATTGCCTGCCTCAACTAGAGGCCGGATTGGAGGATTGTCTGTTTGTGCTACTGTAACAGAGCACATAGACTGGGAAATTTACAAAGAACAGAAATTTATTCCCTCCGAGTTCTGGAGACTGGGAAGTCCAAGATCAAAGTGCTGGCAGGTTTAGTCTCTGGTTCCAAGATGAGATCTTGTTGCTGTGTCCTTTGGGGAGAAAAAAACCTTGTGCTCTCACATGGCAGAAGAACAAAAAGAGAGTGAATCCATTTCTACTAGCCCCTTTTATAGCAGTATTAATCCATTCATGAGGGCTTTTGCCTCATGATCTAAACACCTTCCATTAGGTCCCATCTACCAACACTGTTGCATTGGTGATTAAGTTTCCAGCACAGGCATTTTGGAGGAGACAAAAACATTCAAACCATAGCAGTGGGTAAGGGAATGAGGTCTAGTTGCCTCAAATAATAGAAATACTAGAACCACAGTATGTGAAGGTCTGGAGATACAAAATAATAGATGTCCACTACCATCAGAAAGAAAGAGATAAAAAATTCTAAACCACTAAGAAAGCATTCATAGGTAAAAATAAATTACACTTTTTAAAAAATGTTCTTTGACAAAGCATCAGATAAAAATGATCTAAGTGTTTTATTAGGAAACAAACTTGCAAAACAACATGTTATGTCTAGGCTACTATAATAAAATAAAGAGAACACATTCTTTGAATAAACTCATACATGCAGGATTCCAGATCAGCTTAATAGTTCCTAACTGCTTGTTCACTGGTTAAACTCCACACAGAGTCTTGGTTTCCAGTTCTGAGTTCCACTCTAGAGAATATTGGAGTTTATAAAGAGTTGTTAAGATGTTAAGAGGTCCTGCAGCCATTTTCATTTGAGGAATGGTTGAGGGAACTGACTGATAGTCTAAACTTGAGAGTCATGTTACTAGATGATAATAGTTATTTTATATATTTAAAGGCTGCTCTGTGACAAAGAGTGAAGACTTATATTCCATTACAACATTTTCAACACTGGTATAAAGTCAAAAGGAGGACAAATTTGGTATAATATGTTGGAACAGATTTCTTGCCCCCAAAGAGGTTTCAGCAGAAGATAGAGGACTGTAGGTCAGTGATGTTGTCAGGGGATTTCTGCTTTGGCTGAGAATTTATCAGACAGTGGGAAAGGGTCTATAATTCTTTGTTTATGATTAGTTCCATCAATTATAATGTGGTAAATAAAGTATTATATTTTCTCTGAAATCACTTTAAAATGTCAGAGGATACTATAATTTACCTGTTTTAGACCTACTGATCTCATTATTTTCAATAATTTGTTTCATCATAAAGATAGGAATCTGCTTAGTAGATTGTTTACGGAATATAAACCAAATCTCTGTCAGTTTCTGCATAATCTACTCCAAAAAGTCTTGAGACCAATTATTTCTTATTATCGCAATGCCATCCTTTCATATATTTCTTTGATGTTTCTTCTGGTATCTACATTAAAGCTCTTTTATCATGTGTACTTTTGAAGAACATCCTTTTTTTAGTTTACATGTAGGAAGCAGCCAAATAAAACAAGCCTCTAAGATTTTGGATCACATATGGAATATTGCTTTAAATCCAGACAACAATTTGTAAGGGTTTTTCAGAGTTTAAATCTTCAAACTCATTTTGCTCATTAAAATGCTGTTTTACATGCATAGAGAAGAGTACTAAATGCTTCATTATATGAGTTTATTTTTGCCTTCCCAATGGATCATTAACTTTACTAAATGATTTTTTGCATTGTTAAGTAGCAGGACAGATGTATGGGCAGTCTAACAGTAAGAATCTAAAATGTATTCAGTATTAGCCAAATTCACCTATAGCAGGTATCCGCTGTCAGAACTGACACTACAAGTTCATCTAAGAAGTTTGGAAATTAAGAATATATGAGGACACATTATAGGAAGTAGGAGAAGTAGAAAGGATTGTTTTCCAAAGTAAGATTGCCAACTGCTCTCTAGTTTTAGCAATACCTAAATAAGAAAAAAATATATACAAATATTAAAGTAGAAACTTAAGAATTGTAATTTAGGTATAGGCTGGGGCAGGTGAGGGTAGGAGATGGATACCAACAGAGATGACAGCCTACCTCAAGGCCTATGAGGTTCTACAAGGAAGAATATTATTGTTGTTGTTTAAATGTGATAGTTAACTCTTTGGAATAATAATGTGTGGGATCTAAACAAAGGGGTGGAGATATACAAAGGGACCCTTCAAAATGTCCTTTAGGCTTATGACATAATGTAGAAATAGTTTCTTTGGGATGTGTGCATTTGAAATTTTAAGCTTATGGAAACAATATTATAAAGTGACTAAATGAAGCTGGGCCTAAAATTATATTCTCAATAGAAATGTTGTTTAGTAGACTCTCCTTCCTCTAAGGTTGGTTTCTGTGTCAGAAGTAGTTTCAGATAGTTTGGAAGAACATATCCTCACTGGGGTTTTGCCTGTCGTGGATATATATAGCTATGACTTTTGAGTACCACACAGGAGATATGTAACTTCTATATTCTGATGAAAGGGCCTGTAACCAGATAGAAAAACAAACCTTTGGTTGAAAGATGAGATATTCCATGTCTTTGGAGACTACAGCTGGGACCAGAAATCTTACATTTCACTAACTCTATTTGGTCATTTAATGCCCAAGTGTCCACTTTGCTGCCAGAATTTCTAGATTTCTGTCAGACAAGAACACCCATAGGAGACATTAAGCAAAGAGCAAGGGAGGCAGTAATGGCAACATATTGTGAAAAGAGCAGAAGAGAAACCTTGCACCAGAATTAGAGTGAGGGCTGGAAAAGGCGGAAGGAAAGCAATAGTTCCTGGCAAGTGCAGAGAGAACACTTC